ACAATTTGGAAGATGTTTGGACTTGCTTCATCAAAGTGTAAAACAAATTTCTGTGCTTTGCCTTTTGAACCTATCACAATTAACCAATCATCTGCGTACAGAAAAAGTCATACCACAGATTCTGAGGCATGCTGCAACTGGCACCGTGTACTTTGTAACTCTATAGCAGACTGCAGCTGCTATAGAGAGACCAAAAGGGAGCACTTTGAACATGAATATCTTGTCACCCATAGCAAAATGTAGAAAATATTGATATTATGAACAGAAGGCAATATAAACTAAGCATGCTTTAGGTCTATCACAGCAACTACTCCCATTTCTTGCAGAGTGGTAATGCCATTGGTAATGCCACTATTCTAGACTGTTTGATTTTTATATATAACTTTTCATCTCTTAGGTGTAAAATTGGTCTCAAGCCCCCATCTTTCCTGAGAACAGTGAAATATCAGAAATAAAAGCCATTCCCCAGTATCTCTAAGGGCTCCTGTATTGGATCTTTGTTGAGGAGCACTATTACTTCCTCCTCCAATACTGAAAGGGTGTTGTAGGTCTGAAATAACCCATTGGAGGGAGAAATATGAACTCTGTGGCCGGGTTTAGTCCCCATGTCTGTCTTGGACCCCAAAACAATAACACAGAAATGGGAACTAAACCCTGCCACAGAGCTAGATGCCAGCTCTGCCCACACATCTATTTTGGCAACACGATTACAGGACCTTCACTTGTTCCTCAACTAATGTGATTTATGCCATCTTTTCCCAACAACGCCCCTCTACATAGAACAAAAAGGACAAACCCACGTAATCGGACATCAGAAACCACAATACACAGAAACCTGTTTCCAACCACTTTAAACTACCAGGACATTTGGCAAAAGATATGACAGTTGCTATTCTGGAAGAGAAGCACTACAGATCAAGAATACAGAGGGAAACAGCTGAAATAAAACATGTACACATTATGGACACCCATAAAAATTGATGGAATATAAGCTTAGGTTTCTTAAGTAATACTTATACTGTTATCTATTGTTATTTGCCTTCACAATTATCACGCACATCTCTGTTTACTAGGCTCAAAGGTAAAAAACTGTTAATATTCCCAAACCAACATACATGGTTCTTCTGCTATCTTCTTTTACTATTATTTCCGTATTTTCTTTCCTCCCTTTGGGTTTTTGACTGCTACCACCAACCTCCTGTCTTCCCTGTTTAGCTCTGGCCTGGTTATCTGCTTTTTGTTTCCTGTGGGAATGTTTACAATAGAACTTAACACCAAACATAGACCATAGATCACTGCATGTGAGATGTAACCACTCACTCAGGATTCTTAAAGCCCATGAATGTTTTACTTGTGGTGTCTGTACTTCATTCTGCATTTCATTTTTCCCATATGTCTAAAGAGGTAGACATTATCCACAAAAGCACACATTAAAATATAATATTAAGGTGCCACATGTTTTTGTTTTGTTTCTTTGGATTTTGACTGATATGCTTGCACAGACTTCTAAGACTACTCCAAGAAGGTGATAAAAGTGAAGAAAGAGATGCTGAGCAAGGAAAACAAAGAGAGTTCAGGCAGAAGTTCCTGGATGAAAGCAAGGTAAACCTGGCAGCAGAGCATAATTTCATGCAGAAGTTCCTGGATGAAAGCAAGGTAAACCTTGCAGCAGAGCATAGGATCATAAGTAGAAGGCGACTAATTATGGATGTGTTGGTCTTGGACAGTTGCAGTATCTAAAGCCATCCTTTTGGATACCTTCTAGCAAAGAGGGAATCCTGAGTTTCTGGAATTTGAACTAATAAGGGGACCCCCCGTGGTTACACACACGCACTTGCCACTGTCACGCCTAGTTGGTCATGAACTCCAAGCAGTACATCAGATGTAGCTACACAAGTGCACTCCTGAGTCTACTTTCCATGTGTCTAGGCCTGAACCAGAAAAAGGTACTGTCAGAGGTCTGTCTCACTGTGGAATTTCCTTCCAGCAGCAATGCACCCAGCAGTTTTTCTGGCAAGATCAGGAAGGCATTTAGGGGTGTGTGGGCTGGATAGCTAAGAGTGGATTCAATTCATGGCTTCTTCTGTACTCCAGTGGGTTGGTTTTTGCCTTATAGTTTTTAATTCTTAGATCATTTTAAAGTGTTTTAAAATGTTTAAAAACTGTTTTAAAGTGTTTAAACTACACTAGATTTTTAAAATATTATTCTACCTCACCCTCAGATCCACCACAATAGGACATACATGGCATATAACAATAGTTAAACAAAACAGCTGTTGATCTGTGGCACAGAAAAGAGGAGCTACAGCACGACACTAGCCTGATTAAGGTGTTCACTTAATTCTCAGATTATTATTTTTCGTATGAAGAAACCCATGAGAAAGAGGAACTAGCCTGCTCCTTTTCCTTATTAATTTTAGTTCTCTCTGTCCCTGAACACATGAGTAGAACTAATGTTTGCACAATATAAAGCACTTTTGGCTCTCACATGCGTTTCTGATTATTGGTTTCACTTAGCCTTGTGTTATGTCTTACCCATCTTCAATCCTTGCAGTTAGTGGATTAGATCTAAAAACATAGAATAACCAGTCTTTTTCAGAATAGAAAATGTTAGTTTTTTTAAAAAAATTGCTTAAAGAAGTGCTGTACCTCTGCTGTTCGGGCCAGGAGAGCAGAATCGTAGTTAATCCTGTAACGAATTGGTTCCTCACGCTCTGGCAACTGGATAGAAACATCCAAGTTCAGGTCCTTATGAGTAGGAATGTCGATTTCATACTGAGCAAGTGCTTGGAATACCATGATGGTTGCCTAGAACGAGAAGAGTAAGATGAAGTCTGTCAGTTTGACCTGAACAGGAGATCGAGACAAGGACTTAGGAACTGGAAATCTGGTGACAAGAGGTTAGTAGAGAAAGGGCGTGGCCTCTTATTTTGGCAGCAAGGATGTTTAATACATATACACCAGTACAGATCTGGTGACCTCTTAAGGAAACATACAAAATGAAGTGGGTAGATGACACACATGTAGGCACATCCATACATTTGCGGCTGCCAGCACAGCATGACATGAGGCAGGAAGAAGATATGAGCTGTGGTGGAATGGTTTGGAATGGGATTTTGTCACTGAAGGACAGCATAAAAACCTGCTGAAACTACCTTCTGTGCAGCACTATGAAACATAAAGGAACCCTGTTTTCTTTCTTAGGGTTCTTTGTGTCTGGCTGAAGGGAAACAGCCAGACACAAATTCACCACCTCAGACAGCCAAAAGGAGGCAATAATGTAAACGACTATTCATTTTTCAGTAGCCTGACCTGAGAGACAACTCTTCAGAAGCCAATGCCTGAATTCTGTAGCAACGGACAGTAAAGGAAACACTCACCTGAGTTTGGCCATATGTTCCCCCATAATACTTCTGCGCTACCAGCCATTTGACTATGGGACCAGTAGCCTCGAATTTCTTCATTTTCAACAAAGCCAGCAAGCCATAGGAGGTACCTTCAATGTTGTAGGTACGTGCATTATATTCTTCCCAACGATTCCCACCTAAATACCACCAAATAAACAGATTTTGATTACAGAGATCTTTAGGACATAGGAGCTTATTTTAACAAGCCACATGATTCCTAATTTCTGTTTTAAGATTATCAATGTATTGTAGTGCATAACAAACTGAAAACTGCTTCCCCCCTAGAAACCCTTCACTGGAAAAACTTCTGTAATGCCATAGGATGTAATTAAATAGCACATATACACGCAGAGGATTTATAATGATAAGAGTGGTAAATAAAGACAACACTTAGGGTGCTGTTTCTTGATAACCAAGAAGAACATTGTGATGTCTACCCTCGTGCCCCTTTGCTTGACCTTCAAGCCTCAAAGCACACAAAGGCAAACATTCTCTTCTTTTACACTTGCTGCCACCAGGTGATCTCTAAATCACCATTACTTCAGAAAGATTCAGGTCCACACTTCAAGTTCCTTTAAATAAAACTTTGGGTTTATTGATTACAGAGATTCATAAACATCTTCAGTAGCTAATCACACTAAATTTCCCAAACTACACACTCTATTACTCTGTCTGGCTTTTCTCTCCTGCCTGACTCTTACATTTCTCTAACTGACCCTATCTCTCCTAATCTGCTCTCTGACTTCGCCTCTTATAGCATCTCTCTTGACCCCACCTCTCAGCAACTTGAATATTCATAAATCATTACATAATACAACAAGAACCATAGAGCTAATAAAAGGAGAATGCTACAAACATCCTTCAACCTATCAACAATTTCCTAGCTAGTCCTTTCAGTCGATGTTAAAAAAAACAACACACACACGACAATTGCCAAAGAAGCCTCTCTATTTTAAGCAAGGAAATATTTTGCACCAATAGATCTACTAGGAGTTCAGTCAGGGGAATCATACAACCTGAAGGACCAGGTTTGTCAGCTGGTCTCAGCCATCCTGATGGATAATCTGATCTTGGCCATGGCCAGGCCTGCTCTTTTTGCAACTCAGGCAGATTGTCCACCTTGTAGACAAGGAGTCCTTAATGACACTGGTTCATTCACTGGTAATCTTGAAATTGACTATTACAATACCCTCCATGCTGGGTTACCCTTGAAGGTGATTCGGAAGCTGCAGCACATGCCAAATGCAGTGGCCAGGCTGGGGGCATCAAGATATATGATTATGTCTCCCCAGTGCTGGTCCATTGGCTGCCAGTACACTTCTGAGCCAAGTGCCAAGTGTTAATACAGATCTACAAAGTCCTGAATGGTTTGGAACTATGCTACCTACTGGAGTATCTCTCCCTCAAATCTACCACTCATTCCACCTGCACCTCCCAGTCCTTTATGCTATGAGTGGCCAGTTCAAGGGAGGCTCAGAAGTCCTCAACTAAAGAATGAATCTTCTCACTGGTGGCTGCCTCTTTACCAAATTTACTACCAATGGAGGTGTGGCAGGCTCCCACCCTCCTAATGTTTAGAAGACAAAGAAAAGAATTGTTTTTCAGATAGGCTTTTGAGAACCTTCCCCCTATTTAAATTCTTTAACTGCTTAATTTATTTATTTTGCACTATTGCCATCACCGTCTTCAACTTTTGTATGTATAGTTGTCTAGGTGGGTTGTAGGGATGAAGGCTGAGTCTGCCTTTATTTGTTGTTTTATTTTATCTTATGTTCATTTTCTGTTGTAAGCCACCCAGAGTTGTAGCTTGCTACTATATGAGTGGGTAAGAAATTTAATGAATGAATGAATGAATGAACAAATAATCACAAATACTGGAATTTAAAAAAACTCATTACAGAAGAATCCTCCATGTGCTATTTGAAAGGACAAAGAGTTCTAACATTGCTAAGGCCATCAATACCAGTCATGTTCAAAGCAGCATAATTATACTACTCTAATTTCCAGTATGATGTAAGAATGCACACAGAAGGAGATACATAGATTATCGTCTTCCTCCAGTTCATTCTCATTACTCATCCCTTCTATTTTTAACATGAACAGCCAGCTGTTTTATTATCCCATACTTTGGTATAAATGTACCTTACCTGTTGATGCCGCCATGAGAACCTGGTCATCCTTCAGCCGCCCTTCTAGGGCCAAAGCATAGGCTGTGAGAGCTGTAGTGTAAGGTCTTTGCAAGGTATCATATTTTTTAGCTAAATATGTAGCAGCTTTGTTGATGCTGTTGTCCAGACTCTGGATTGAAAAGAGGAGAATAAAAAAGTACGTATACATTAGGAGTGGGTGGAGAATGATGTTCAGACATGGCCCATTTGGATGCCCCACTTCTGGGGCAGCTCTGCTGGGTTCAGTTTCCTTCAGATATGAAATACCTGAGGACTTAAGGGTGTCTTTGTTGTCTAGATAACTCAGTGAATTAGATATCATGCATCCTAGAAGAATTAGCCTCTGTGGTCTTGGGCACAGTCTCTGGATGTCCCCAGAAAGAGGGAATAATAAACATCTTCTGAGTACTCTCTTCTTAGGAAATGTTGGAAAGGGTTACCATAATTGTGTGACTTTATGGCACACAATTATTATTTCTAAGAGAGCCTCTGCATAGTTTACAAATGCACAAGCAAAGCATCATGGGGAAAAAGTGGGGCTTCCAACAGCAGGCAGCAGGACCCCCAAGTGCAATTTAAGCAGCCATCTCAGACTGCAATCTCAACTGTAGGTGACAGAAACCTATTTATAAATATACTATATGCCCCACCTTTCTAGCTCTCAAATTAGGACTAAAAGCCAACTAAACATGCAAGTGAGTGTTTAAAGCAGTACCTGTGAAAGTACAATGGCATAAGCCAGAGCACCAAATAGCCAGTAATTAATACGTCTCAAATTGAATTTCTAGATGCGTGGCAAGTAGGGACTTGTTATGTAGCAGTTATTTGCTGCTTGAAGTTAATGATAATATTAGAACTGCAGACCTGCAAGTTATCCTGTGCATCATCAGGTCCAGTTCATGTCAAGGAAGCACAGTGGAGAATCTAACTCCCAACCCCTGGCTATGCAGCCAGATACCTAGCCGCCTAGAGTGGTCCTCGCCCGACCAGATAGGCGGGATACAAATAAAATAAAATAAATAAATAAATAAATAAATAAACCACTGAGCTATCCAGCAGTTCTTACACGATTTATGCGATGCGGGTGCAAATATTCAACTGGATTCTGAGTAAAAAGTGAACTTCTCCAGATAGTTCTGCAAGCTGCATTTCAGAGTCAAACTAAACAACAGACTTAGCATGTTTTTAGTTCCTTAAGTAACCACTGAGCTATCCAGCAGTTCTTACACGATTACACTTATGCGGGTGCAAATATTCAACTGGATTCTGAGTAAAAAGTGAACTTCTCCAGATAGTTCTGCAAGCTGCATTTCAGAGTCAAACTAAACAACAGACTTAGCATGTTTTTATAAATGTTCCTTAAGTGGTAAGAAATGTCAGCATGCCATGCCATTATTTTCTTTGACACCTATCAAGCATTTGTAAGTGTGGTGACTGGCCACTGGAAGGCTAACACGAGGTTAATGTGCACGTTTATTTACTGAGACAAGTTACAGTGGTCCCCCGCATAGCGATGATAATCAGTTCCAGAAAAATTGTCGCTATGTGGATTCGTCGCTATGCGAAATAAAAAAGCCCATAGGAATGCATTAAAACCCATTTAATGCGTTCATATGGGCAAAAAACTCACCGTTATGTGAAAATCCTCCATACGGCCCCCATTTTCGCTGCCCGGTAAGCGAGGAATGGGTGCGAAAACACAGCGGGCGGCCATTTTTTTTACCCGGTGGCCATTTTGAAACCGCTGATCAGCTGTTAGAAAAACATCGCTATGCGGAAATCGGTAAGTGAAACAGCTTACCGACCATCGCAAACAGATTTTTTCCTATCTAAATCATCGCAATTCGATCGCTTTTGCGATCACAAAAACTTAATCGCTATGCGGATTTGTCATTAAACGGGGCACCCGTTAAGCGAGGCACCACTGAATTTCACAATCTGAGGAAAATGCAGTTGTGATAAGGGAATCGGAATAATCATAGGAAATCTACATTCCCTGGAATGTCTGATTTACTCTTAGAAGGCAGAGGGACTAATCTGTAGCAAATGGCCAATTCATATCAGGGGAGAAGCGATTTTTTAAAGGTCTTGTGCTGGCCCTGGTTAAAGCTTTAAATAAATTCTATGCCACAATTGCCCTCACATTTTGCAACACTCTTTGTGGATAGTGAAATGGGGACAGGGAATGACATGTGTTAACTTGAGTAGCTGGGAATTAACTTTCTGGTCTCACAGCACACCTTCCCAGTGGCTACAAGCTCACAGCTGTCAATTCTCTATCCCTCAGAATCTCCCACAAAGCAAAATATGTAGGGCAATTGGGGGGGTATGGACCCCCCTTCACCAAAGCAAAACAGAAAATGATGATGCTGTGACCTCACTGCCACCCACCAACAAGCGGTCTCCCAACATTTTCAGCCAATTGTCCACCCCGTCCAATCTCTCTTGAGTTTTACCTCTCCCCTCTGCACCCCATCCCAAATTCTGTGCTAAGAGTATATAAGTGATAGGTTAAAAATCAATGACTCGTGCCTTTGGAAAATGAAGGATGCAATGGGTTGGATTTTCTTTAATCCTGAAGGCCCACATTGGCTTACTGTTGGGCCAGGAAGGAACAGAAAATTGGTAATGCAGAAAAGATCTAAGAACGTGTCAGAGGTGACTGCCTCTTACATCATGGAGATACTTACGTTGATGTGATTTTTGCAGATCTCTTTGGACTCCAGCAGAGCAATCATGACAAAAGCTGTTAATGACACCTCTGGTTCAGCGCCCTCATAGCCTCCCTATAAGGAAGCAAACAAGGAAGAAAACAGCAAATGAATGCAGCATTAATAAACGTAATTGTAAAGTCCCAAAGAGAGCCACACTTCTGATGTTGTAAGAAGAGATGGTGTATGGGGAGGGGGGGGGGAAGGCTGAGCATATAAAGGTTGAACAAGATGATGAATTTATCTTATTTTTTCTTTAAATAAGTGTCCCCCGTCATGAAAGACCTGTTTCACAGGGTCACAGAATAATGGAGTTGGAAAGGGCCTATAAGCCCACTGAGTCCAATCCTCTGTTCAATGCAGGAATCCAAAGCAAAATATATCTGACAGATGATTCTCTAATTTTCTCTTGAATGGCTCTAGCACTCACCATCTCCCAAGGTACCATGTTTTCATTGTTCTACTCCTTTAACAGTTAAGAGGGTTAGCTGTTCAGCCTCATACCTCCCCTCAGTCTTCTTTTCCCAATGCTAAATATGCTCACTTCTTGCAGTCTTTCCTTGTAGGGCTTGATTTCCATCCTTCCTAAAGTGCAGTGTCCTGAACAAAGTGTTTGTCACTTTGTTGACGTTCCTCTCACATAGCATGCATTTATTGTGCATGGTTTTGAGATTGATCATTAGAATGTAACAAGAAGAATAGGATTCAGCAAAGGAAGGGGTGTGTGTAAAGCATTCAAAGAGAATCTCCTTTGGGAAGGGTGAGACACATCATCCCTTTTTGCTTCTGTCACACTCAGTATGTTCTTTGTAGACAAAATTAACATGAAAAATGATACATTTGGTTTCTGGATGAGACCTATTTTTTCTATCAAAAGTCAAATAACTTTCTCTCCCACCATCACTTTCTCTCCCAATGTAACCACTCTCTCACTCTGAACACATTCTGAAGCTTATGTGAGGATGGGCCCCTTGGTCCTTGAGAGCACCAGAGAATATTGTTGACCTCCAGAAAAGTTTAGGAAGAAATTCTGCCTGAAAAGCCCTGGTTGTTGTTGTTGTTGTTGTTGTTGTTGTTGTTTAGTCGTTAAGTCGTGTCCGACTCTTCGTGACCGCACGCCAGGCCCTCCAGTCTTCCACTGCCTTCCGGAGTTTTGTCAAATTCATGTTGGTCGCTTCAGTGACACTGTCTAACCGTCTCATCCTCTGTCGTCCCCTTCTCCTCTTGCCTTCACATTTTCCCAACATCAGGGTCTTTTCCAGGGAGTCTTCTCTTCTCATGAGATGGCCAAAGTA